GGATAGAGAATGGCTTCCTCGGCAGGCGCTGCCTGCTACATCCTGCCCTGGGCAGCAGGGCCCCTCCTCCCACCCCCTCGCCCCTACAGCAGGCCCAAATTCTTCCCTTCTTTCCCCGAGGCTGCTCCAGCAGGGAGTTTATCTCCGTGGAAACCTTTGACGATTGTGAAGGTGCAGAAGAGATGGAAAAGGAGAGCCGTGCTCTGAGTGTAATTTATTTCCTTCTTCCCTCCTTCACACTCTCCCTCACTCCTAGTCATCAGCTTGTCCGGCCTCCTCTTCCTCTCTCCCTTCCCCCTCTCCCTCCTGTTCATGATTCTCATCTATAAGGACCTGGCCTAATCCAGGAAGCTGAGGTCCCTGGATCTGCAAAGTGGCTCAGACCCTTCCAGCCCAGCATGCGCTGGTTTCTGGTCATAATTAGGGGGCTCCTGCTGAGACCCAGAGTGACCAGGTGGGAGAGCTGGGCTGGGCCCCGCCCCCGCCCTGCCAGCGGGAATCGCAGGGTGGGCCTGGCTTAGGCCTGGGCATCCCCCGCCCTGCTAACTCTGAGGGTGCACCCCTGTCCCCTCCCTTCCAGCTCTCGAGACTTTTCCAGTTGGACGACAGTTATGAAACCTGTTCCTCCAAATCTGTTCTGGAAACGGGAGAAAGCATTCAGGGAGAAAAAGCACGTGATGAAGAGGAAACGTGAGTGTGCAAGAGGAAAGAACAGTAAGCGAATGTGTTAGCCAGTGCTTCTCTTCTCGGATTTCCAGGGCAACAAACTAAACTGGGGATGTCCACTGGCTTGCTCGCCCCTGGGGAGACGACTAGTTTCCGGGCAAAAGCAGTGCGGGCGAGGGAAGGATGCCCGAGGCCCCCTCCCCGGAGAACCGACACTCGTTCGTGACACCCGCGGCTCCTCGGCTGGGGGCGCGGAGGGCGCGGCCCACCTTTAAGCAGAAAGCAGCAAAGGGGCCTCCGAACCTGCGGACCTGCTGCCCGGGCAGGGGGCGCCAGGGCCGCCTTCCACGAGCCCGAGGACGGTCCACGCCCCGCCCGCGGAGCCCACCTATCCGGGTGACGTCCGGAGAACCTCGAGCGCAGCGGAGCCCCCGCCTGGAGGGCTCAGGGCAGGGTTTGTCAACGTTGGCACTTTTGACTTTGGGGGCCGGATAGTTCTTTGTTTGTAGGGGCTGTTCTGTGCATTGTAAGATGTTTAGCAGCATCCCTGGCCTCTGCCCACTAGATGCCAGTAACCCCCTCCCCGCCCACCTACCCATATTGTGACAATCGAAAATGCCTTCAGACGTTGCCTAATTTCTCCTGGGGCTGGGGCTGGGGGGAGATCGGTTGAGAACTCCTGTGGAGCCTTGGAGGAACCCAAGCTGCTCAAACCCGACAGGGTAGAAGACTGCACCCCCCCCCCCCCCCCTGCGCTCTTCCCCCCCAGTCCCGGGAGAGTGTTCACGGGATGCTTGGGTTCCTTTGTTCCAGGACTGTGTCGTTTCCGAGCACATGGGTTACAAGTGAACTTCTGAGATATTTGTGTTATTTATCCTAGTAATCCTAGTTTTAGGATTACTGATGTTCACAGTTATTTATTTTAGGTTCTGGGTTGTTTACTTTTACGTTGTTAGATTTTTTTAGTTATTTGGTTTTAAACTAGTTCATTTTCAGATTTATTTCATTTTTGAGCGTTATATTTTCTGAATTTTTAATTTTCATAGGTTTTGAGTGATTTTCAGAGTTACTTATCCTCAGTTGTTTTCACTTATGTCGTTGCCATTGAAAATTTTTTTGTTTTGTATTTTATTTATTTCATTTTCAGAATTATTTATTTTCAGAATTGTTTAGTATTTAGTATTAGAATTACTTAGTCTATCAGTCAGGATTTAATCAAGAGAGAGACACCATACCAGTTATTTTAACAGAGAGAATTTAATATAAAGAATTGCTATTCAGTTTATTGGAGATTTTAAAAGGAAAACCAAAGTGATAATGAGACGTCATGGAGATTTTAACTGCCAGAAGCAGCTACCAGCCTGAGGGCTGAGGGAACAGAGGGAAGAGGTTGGAGGTGGCCCCGCAGGCCACCAGAGGGCTCTGGTCAGCCCTCTGAGGAGGAGGCGCTGCCTGATGGGGCAAGTGTCCCAGGAGCTCACAGGCAGCCGGGAGCTGCATGCAGAGCTCTGAGGAGGGGGCGCTGCTGGTGTCTCTGAGTAGAAGCTGGTTATGGAAGTGTTGGGAAGATGGCAGACTGCAGCTACTGGAACCAACTGTTGCTCTTGGGGTGAAGACCAGTTGCTAGGGAATGCTGACAGGAACCGCGGCACACAGGGTTCCTCTTTTCTCCTCCAGCCTCTGGTCCGTCTGCCCTATGGGCCAAGCCTGACAGGCAGCAGCCGGCAAAGGAGGCGGCCCCACACCAAGAAGCAGAGAACAGAAGGGTGGGCCGGAAGCTGAGAAATCAGAGCCAATGACCAGCATGCTGAGCTCTGGAGTTATCTGGTTTTAGAGTTAGTTTTGGATTTAGTTAGTTTTGGAATTGTTAGGGTCACTTTTTACTAGATGTGTGATCTGGCTGAGTCTTCAGTCCCCTGATTTGTTTCCGTAATTGAGTGGGTCAACAAACACTGAGAGGAGTGTCTCCTATGAGACTCGAGAAAATCACTTTAGAATTCAAGAAAAACAAAAATAAGTGTCCCACTTTGTTCATGAAGAAGCCCTTTGAATGCATGGCCAAAAAACGGCAGAGACTAAGGGACAGACTTTCAGGGAGGGGCTCCTTGGCGCAATTGTCCAGCAGAGTGTTTTTTGAAATTTTTGTTGTGGGGCCACCGTCTCATGACTCCTTTCCTAACAACAAAGTATCTTTCCTGATAGAGTGTGTTTCAAATGTGTAGACTATAGTATTTATTATTTGAACAATAAAATAAAGTTTTCCCCACATCTATAGGAAATCTTATTTCCTTCTACCTGCGTTATTTTCCAACCCACATTCTTCCATTTTGACCATAATAACATTTATTTATTTGTGTATGTATTCACTCATTTCATTCAACACCCATTTCATGAGCACACCCGTCATAAGGCACCAGGAGAGGCCAGGGAGTTATGAAGATGAGTGAGAAGCTCTCAGTCCAGTTGGGGGAGACAGATGTGGAAACAGATCATCACAACATGGTGTGACAAATACTGTGGGGACTCAGAACCCTGACACTGACTCTTGCTGATGCAGGCAGGGAAGGAGTGATGGCTGAGCTGAGTCTCCCAGAGCAAGCATTTTCTCCAGGTGAAGAAGGAGAAAGGCATTCTGGTCAAGCACATGCACAGAGGAGCCATGCATGGCGGGGAGGATGCATTGACAGAGGTCGCTGAGCCACAGGGTTCGGAAGGGCGCTAATATTAAGGACTGGCCCTGGTGCGTGACAGACGTGGCCTCTTTTGGTCCTCACAGCCAGACTGGAAGGGAGCAGGAAGCAACCTCGGGAGTCAGTGCTCTTCCTGATCTTACTGTTCCAACCACAGTTCACAAGGCCCTCTGACTTGCCATTTCTGGAATTCTCCAGTTTATTCTTGGCTTTATCCTTGGTCCATTCACTCCTTCCCACTTACCCTTGGAGGTGAGTCCTTCCCTTCTCCACCTTTTGATTCCTGCTTCTTAGACATCTGTAGGGAAGGAGGAGGGTTGAGACCAGCCAGCTGTGAAGCACAGGAGACATCGGAGGAGACAGAGAAGGGCAGAGTGGAGGAGAGCTGCTGTGGGGTCTCCTAGGGGCGTTCTGCAGACCACACGGCGAGGAGTGGGCCCCTGGCATAACCAGTCATGACCCCCTCCACCCACATTCAGCAACCATTGAAAGGGTGTGGAGATGACCTTCCCAAAGGGGGAAACCTGCTTTAGATCAAACCCACGCTTGTGAATCAACAGATTGGGATTTTTTAAAGCACACAGAGCCATCGGCTGTATTAACAGCGTTGGACATGTCTACCCAGTCAAAAGAAAGTATAGTCCTGCACGATCTATGATGGCATATTTTCACAATTTTTATGATACTAATTCATACAGTCAGTCTTGAATATAGGGTTCTCAGCAGACTTTGGTCCCTCCGATTATCTTATCAATCACAATATACACATTTCTCAATGAGAATATGTAAGAACTAGAGCTGGACAGAAGAATCTTCAGGGTTCTAACTATTAGAGTAGTCAGAAAACACATCACTTGGATCCTCTTAAACACTGTTGGCCATTGACTAGCCAGCTGCCCACTACAGAAACAGCCTGAAGCTTTCTCAATCCTTTGGACCTCATTTTCTGAAGCTACAAAAATGGCCACACTTGATGGTGCTGGCAAAGTGCAAAGTGCCCAGACCTCCCTGACCTCCCAGGAGGAACCTGTCCACAAACCTCACATCCCAGGTGGGCCACCAGAGGAACCACTTCAATACCAGCCATCACTGGTTATGTTCCTGGGTGCTGCCCCCAGGTGCTCCAGGATGGTCCACTCCGACCTTCTGCTCTGGCCAACTTACCCGAGCCCCACACTGCTGCTCTGCTTACAGGTGTCCTCTAGGGGAAATCTGGGCTCAGGGAGTCAGACTCCCACTGAGCTCGTGGTGGACTGTGGGGTGGGACAGGAACAGTGGGACAATTCTCATAAAGCCATAGATGCACAGTGAGTCCCCAGCGGACACTGCATCCCCTGCTCTGAAGCCTGGACACATTGCTCACTCAGGAAGTAGTGGTGAATTTTTTAGACTTTAAAACCGGGGGTGGAGGGGGAAAGGGTGGATCTTCTGTGAGTGAAATTTGTGTCATCTTTCCATTTGAGTAAATGGAAAAGAATCCAAAACCATCAGATACAATCCTCCAGCCTTCTTTTACGAGTTGTTCAAATTACGCATGGCTTTATAACGCCCACTAGAGGGACTCAGATTTCAACCTGTTGCTGAGGATTGGGAATGCTGTACCCCAAATGACAGTGCCCCAGCTGAGCAGCTGCACTAAAAGCAGCCCTGGATCTGTAAAATCTGGGGGACATCTGAGTGCATACTAAACACGAGCCGTGCATTATGAAATAATTAGAAAAGTTAGAATCCTCTAAACCAGCATTTCCCAGAGTATATTTTACAGAATAGGCAGAACAGTGTAAGAGTTCAATGAGTTAATCCCACAACAACAAAATTATCTAATAATAAATACATTAAAAAAATACTACATGTCCTGTTTCTCCCATGGTTGATCCCAATTAGTAGATTAAAGGATCTGAGAACTCTTGCAGGGAGGAAGTCTATATGCTTTCTTTAAATTCATCATTTCCCAAACTTATTTGACCACAGGACCCTTTTCCTTGTGGAATATAATTTCTCATGTGTATTAATAAGGGGAAAGACTAAACTGCTGTAACAAAGATATCCAACAATGTAGTGACTTAAAGAATATTTCTGTCTCATGCAACAGCTCAGGTTCGGTATACACGCTGCTCTGCTCCACGCAATCATTTGGGGTCCCAGGTTTCTTCCTGCCAGTTCCACCATCCCCTAAAACATTGTCTTTGTCTACATAGTGGAAAGCAGATCTCAGAACATCCAATTTCTAGCTCACATTTTTCATTATCAGACAGTCCAACATTTAAAACTTTGATACTATCCAGTGTTGGAGAAGATATAGGAAGACCAGTATTCTCATACGCTATTGGTGAGAGTGTAAGTTAGTACTAGCTTTTTAGAAGACAATTTGCAATAGCTACCAAAAACTTAAAATATGAATACGATTTGATGCAGCAATTCTACTTAACTAGGAAATTATTTTAATGATATACAAATGAACAAAGATATGTATGTGCAGGTGTCCATTTTAACATTACTTTTAATGGGAAAAGAAGTAGTGGGAGATGGGGAACACCCAAATGTCTGTA